TAAGTTGTTTGTAAAGGGTCATCCTGGTACTTGTAGATCATATTCCCACACTGAGTGCAGTAAATAAACTAGGACTTAGATATTAAGGTTTACTAAAGGAAATTGCCAATCCATTTGTTCACGATGTTCATTCAAGCCAATAGCCATTCGTTGCCATTTGGCTTTTTCGACATCAATTTGCACTCCACGAACCCTCAATCGAGCCAGACTGGCTTCAGAAATATCCCGACAATCCTTAACTTCAAGAATACTAAGTGAAGGGCAGTATTCTCCGATCAGTTTTACAGCAGAGTTGGAAACTCGCCAACAGCCTCTTAATCCGAGATGTTTCAGCAGAGGACACGAGTTTGCAATAATTCGAACACTATTATCACTAATACCATAACAATCATTAAGGAGCACAGTTTGTAGTCCGTTGCAGCACGAGGCTAGGGAAGAAACACATGAATCAGCGACGTCCCAGCAGCCCGTCAGATCAACAATCTGAAGAGCGTTGCAGCATAAAGATAACTGCGTAATGGCGTCGGATGATACCCAGCGACATTCGCGTAGCTTTAACACTTTAACATCCGGGTTAAACTCGGCTAATGTGAAGAGCGTTCGATTTGTCAAACTCGAACAAGCAGTCAAATCAAGCTCGCGGAGCCGGGTATTTCGCTTTAAAATTTCAACCAGGACATCATCGCTTAGCCAGCTTTTGCAGTTCTTCAAAACCAGCTTTCGTAAACAAGAATTTGGTTTGGTCATTAACGTAAAAGCATTCGATGTAAGGCGAGATGAAATTCGGCTACAATCAAGAGTTCTTTGCCAAGCGAAGTACGAATCACAAGCCTCTCGGCAGAATATGCAAACTTTTCTGAGCTGAAATAATTGTGGTATGGTGAAATAGGCAAATATATGTGGGAAAACAACGTCTTCCCAGGGAAGACTGAAGAAATCTGGAGAAATTTCTTGCCTTTCCGCCATCTTGCTTCTGTATATGTTTCAATTATATCAGTCTTGTGGAACCTGGATACGAATGATTGACCTCGTCCTAAGCCCCTTCTCGTGCGCGCTTCATTCGATCTCATACCTCAATTATTTCATTTCACTTAGTTTTATTTTTTCTTTCATTATTTTTTGTTTTACGTTTTTTTCTTGGATTGAAAAGACATGGCACAAGAAATTTATCCTTGAGAGATAACCTTTTAAAACCAATGTGTCCTTTTAATTCCCGCTAATGGAACAGGAAAGGCGATCGAAAAAGCGGTAAGGTCTATGCCAGAAAATGTGCGATTATTTCCTCTAAGATTTTTTGAAGGCATTTAGGTGTGTCATAATGTCAAAAGCTGAGATATTGATAATCGATAATTGAAGCTTTTGGCTACCCTTGATTTAATTCGGCATGGACATAAATGGGTTTATTCTGGTATTTTTATCAAAATATCCGTCTAGACAGGAAGGGTTTTCAATGTCATTCCGTGGGTCAAGCATTTTTAAATAATAGTCTTTGTGCACAGAGAGTCACTGACTGTGAGATGATCATCTCAAAAATCATCTGACTAATTTCCTCCCAACAAAGCCGTCTGTCTTCTTGAGTCATTAACCAGTAGAGGAGAACAAACAGGAATCTACTTTTCCCGGACAAAAAATCAAAGAGAATTATAGGCGTTCTGTCCAAGCTCCGTTATTTCTTTAGTACTAAAACACTACTTAACCTGTACTATGCTTTAATTGAGCCTTTTTTAAACTGCTGCATAATTGTTTGGGGTAATACCTATCAGACAGCTTTGCAACCTTCATTTATATTACAGGAGAGAGCCTTAAGAATAATTACTTTCTCGAGTTATAACGAACATTCAAGTCCTTTATTTAAAGATCTAAATGTTGTGAGGCTGTTTGACATTATTACCTTTTAACTTGCAGTATTAATGTAAAAGTTTCACAAGAAACTCTTACCTCCTGTATTTGACTCTTACTTCAATTCTGTTAGGATGTTACATAATTATAATACCAGATTATCTAGCAAAATGACTAATACTATTCCAAATGCCAGAACAAATTATGAATCTTCAACATAAGATTTCAGGGTGCTAAAGTCTAGAATGATATAAGTGAAGACATAAAGCTTCCTCCTCAGAAGCATTTTAAGAAAAACCTGAGGCTAACTCTTCTTGATAAATATTGATAAATTTTCATGGCCTTCCGTTTGTTTTTTACTCTGATATTCCTTGCTTCCTTGACCTTGTTTTGTATGATAAATGAACGTGTGTGTGTGTGTGTGTGTGTGTGTGTTGTATGTGTTATATCTGACCCAAATAATTACATTAAATAAATCACCTAAGTATAGCTGCCCTTTTTTTCTATCCCCTATGGTTATTTGGGGCAGTTACTACTCCTTTATAATGTCCTTGTCAATTTATTTTATTTTATTTTATTAGATTCGCCGACAGGCAGGGACACCGCAACAGCTTGTGCCAATCACTGCAGGCCCAGTAAGCCCACCCATCCCCCCGGGGGAGTACTTTAGGATTTTCTCGGTGGGGATGTGCTGCTGGGACTCTGGAACCCTTAACGTATACTAGAGCTAGTTCAGCTAAATTTTGCTACCCTATACTAGAGTAAACTCCCAAACCCCCCCCTATCCTAGAGTAGCTGTTTTCCAGCTGAAAAAAAGAAGAAGCACTTACCTTCTTTCTCCAAGTTACAAAAAAGCTAGTCCACCTTCCTTCTTCTTCTTCCGTCGCGAAGATTAGTCCTAAATGAGTCCTAATTTTGGACAGGTTTTGGACACAGGTTTTTGATTTTCAACCCCGTATTCAACTTGGTGGCATTGCAAGTTACATGCTGAGCTCCGGGGCTGAGCTATGCCAAGCACGCATGTACGCCATTATAAGGAACAATAAATTGTTTAATTTTAACCAATATTAAAACACAACGACTACCGTCTGAATCCCGATTTTTGACAGGTAATAATATCCAGTACTGTTTTATGATAGCCATCAATTGACACTTTCTTTGCTTTTACTCCCGGGGCTGAGTTGCATAAATTTCAACTTGT